AATCGGCAATTCAAGAAATCTAAAACTGAAAAATAAAAAAAGACAAATGGAAAAATTAAAAAACCCCGAAACTAAAATGTTGAAAATTGTGAAATCGAAACAATGAAAAACCCAGACATCGAAAAATTGAAAAAAAAACGACAAATCGAAACATGAAAAGATCGACAAAACGAAAAGTCGAAAATTGAAATGGTCCAAAAAAATGGAAATTGAAAAAATCGATATAACGAAACATCGAAATTTAGATAAAACAAAACATCAAAGAATCGAAAAATGTAAAATCTAAAAAATCGAAAAATTAAAATACCGAAAATGGGAAATCTAAAGATAGAAAAAATCGAAACAGTGAAAAATTGAAAAAAAAAACACTCGAAAATTCTAGACATGAAAAGATCGAGAAATCGAAAAGTCGAAAAATCGAAATATTGAAATGGGAAATTTAATTTAAAAATTTAAATGAAAAACTGAAAATTTTAAAAATCCATAAAACGAAAGATCGAAAAATTAACCAATTGAAAAATCGAAACACTCAAATTTCAATAAACCAAGAAATCGAAACATGAAAAAATCAAGAAATCGAAAACTCGAAAAGTAGAAAATCTGATAAATCGAAATGACCTAAAATCGGGAAATGGAAATATCAAAAGTGTAAACTATGAAATACGAGACTCAAAAATCAAAGAAATCAAATCGAAAAATTTTAAAATCCCCAAACTAAAATGTCGAAAATTGGGAAATCGAAAAATCCAAAAACCGAAATTTAGATATAGAGATCGAAAAATTGAAAAATCAAAACATTGAAAGACCGCGTAAACAAAACACAAAAGCATCGAAAAATCTAAAACTTAAAAATTCTAAAAATTAAAAAACGAAAAATTGAAAAACGCCAAGATTCAAATGTTGAAAATTTTTGAAGAAGCGAAAAACCGACAAGTTGAAAAATCGAAAATTCGAAAGGCTAAATTATAAAATTAAAAAAAGAAGAAATCGAGACTATCAATTTTAAATTTAAAGATCGAAAAACTGAAAAATCCCAAAACTGAAACGCCGAAAATTTGGGAAATCCAAAAATACAAAAATTGAAAAGATTGAATAATTGAAAAAAACACCCGAGAAATCGACAGCTGAAAAGATTGAGAATCGAAAAGTCGAAAAACCGAAATATCAAAAAGGCCCAAAATTGAAACATTAAAAAATGAAAAACTGGAAATTTTGAAAATCAATAAAACGAAAGGTCGATTGAAAAATCGAAAACTCGAGAAGTAGAAAAAATGAAAAATCCAAATGGCCTAAAACCAAAAAATTTAAACATCGAAATTTCGATGAATCGAGAAATCGAAAATTTGAAAAATTGAAAAATCGAAAATCAACTGAAAAGTCGAAAAATAGAAAAATCAAGCAATCGAAATATCAAAAAATCTAAAATTCTAATAAAGTATCGAAAAACGGAAAAACTGAAAAATCGTAAAATTGAAAAATGAAGAAATCCACACATCAAAGTCAAAAAAACAAAAATCTAAAAATCTAAATTTAAAATCTATAAACTCAAAAAAATCGACAAATCGAGAACTCGAAACTCGAAAAATCGAAAAACCGACAAATCGAAAAATCGGAACATCGAAAGATTCAAAACCTGAGACATCGAGAAATCGAAAAATCAAAAGATCGAGAAATCGAGGAGCCTAAAATAAAAAAATCTAAACATCAAAATTTCGATGAATCGAGAAATCGAAAATTTGAAAAATTGAAAAATCGAAAAAATCAAAAACTGAAAAGTCGAAAAATTTTAAAATCAAGCAATCGAAATATCAAAAAATCTAAAAATATAATAAAGTATCGAAAAACGGAAAAACTGAAAAATCGAAAAATTGACGAATGAAGAACTGAAATATCGAAAGTTGAAAAATGGGAAAATCAAAAAATTGATTAATTGAGAAATTGGAAAACTGAAAATTCAGAATCGTCAAAATTTGAAAAATTAAAAAATATTGAAGAACATACATATTTAAAACATTGAAATATTAAAATATCGTAAAATTGAAAACTGGAGAAATCCAAACATCAAAGTCAAAAAAATAAAAATTCGAAAATCTAAATTTAAAATCGATAAGCTCAAAAAAATCAGCAAATCGAGAAATCGAAACTCGAAAAATCGAAAAACCGACTAAAATTTAAAACTAATTGAACAACTAAAATATTGCAAAAAATAAAAATTCGAACACCTAGAATTTAAAAATCGAAAAACTGAAAAATCGACAAATCGAGAAATAGAAAATCCAGAATTAAAAAAATTTAAAAATGGGATAACCGAAAAATCATCATCAATAGAATCAAAAACTGAGACATCGAAAATTAGAGGATCGAGAAATCGAGGAGTCGAAAGCCCAGAACAGTTAAAAATTGAAAAATTACTAAATCGAGAAATTGAACAATCAAAACATCGAAACATCTGAATTCGATATATCCAGAAAAATTTTAAAGAAGAAAAATTGGAAAATCAGAAATTTAAAAATTCGAAAAATTGAAAGAATTGAAAACTCGAGAAATTGAAAAACCTCTAATTTTAAAAATTGAAAAATTTAAACATCGAAAAGTTTAAAAATTTAGAAATCTAAGTATAAAACGCAGAAAAATTGAAAAGTCTAAAGTTTAACGAAAAATTGAAAATCCGAGAAGTAAAAAATCGAGCAATAAAAAAATCCAGGAGTCCAAAAATCGAAAAGGCGAAAAATCGAAAAATCCCAAAACTGAAAAAAATATCCAAAAAAAATTGAGAAATTAAAAAATTGGCAAATTTAGAAATCAAAAAACTAAAACAGCAAAGTAGAAAAATCGTAAGCTTAAAAAAATCGAAAAATTGAAAAATGAAAAATCAAAACCTTTTGAAGTCGAGAAATCGAAGAACTGAAAATTTAGAAACGTCAAAATTTGGAAAATTGAAAAATCGAATTATATTTAGAAACGGAAGGAAGACAAAAATTGAGAAATCGTTTCATTGAAACATCGGAAAATTGAGAAATCCAAAAATAAAAAACCGGGAAATGAAGAATAGAATAGAAAAATTGAAAAAGCCCAAAATTAAAATGTTGAAACATCTAAAGTTGAAAAATCGAGAAATCGAAAAGCCGAAAACTCTCAATAGCGTATTTATAAACCACAAGTTCAGGACAACTTGCTACGGATAAATTTTGAAAAATTTATTGATTTTTTTCCAAAAATCTTGACGCCTAAGACTCGACGTGGATTCATAAACCATATTCGTTCTAAATTCCGACCAGATGGTCTTCGTAGTGGATGTGTATCAGATCAACACTAACGAAAGTTCGCTTATACATAGATAAATCGCTTAGAGTCGATATTGGCCTGAGTGCGCTCTGGTCTGTAGATCAAACAAGTTCTCAGGCGACGAACTGGCTAAAAATATTTGAGGTACCTCCAAATTTCGTCAAATATTTATATAGTATAAGCCTCGGATATGTGAAGTTTAGTCAGAATCCCTAATATTTTAAATTCATTTAGAAGACTAACATTCCTCGTTCTTACTGACTTCTTTCTGTAGAACTTTTTAAATCGTGTAAGGCTTTATTTGTGGTAAGAACTACTGTAGAAATTTTGACCGTCGAGTTGACACAAGAGTCCACTATTTGTTGTAAACTCTCCAGAATCAAGCTTACTTCATTAAGTTACTTAAGAAAACTCCAGTCTACTTTGCTCAACTCATGATACAAATTCACAAGATTTGTCCGCTTGAAGTCGTGTTGTTTACCTTTGGCCAAAGGAAAACATCGAACATCACACATGGGGGGAGGGCCAGTTCTAGATTTATTTGCAGAGTTGGATGAACTTTGTCCTCAGACAAACATAATTCGGAATTTATAAATTTTCGAGGAGACAATGTCCTATCACGATGGGACAGCTAGGTAAGTAGTAATTTCTCAGACAGGAAAATCGCTATTATACCACTTGTTAAAAAAAAGTTGACACTTAGAATTATAGATCCATTAGATAAATGTAAGAGTAAGTAATTCAATGAAAAAGTAATTTCTCTTGAATCACCACTTTATTCAATTTGGACAAGATGGCTTCTTGACTCGAAGACCTATTAAATCTAATCTCTTGCCTTATAAGTTTGAGTGGACTAAAAAAATCTTGATTTACCCGACCACTGGATATTAGCGAATTCTCCAAAGTCTCAAGGCGCTGTTTTTACGCAAACTTCGGTGGATTTCCTTGTTTTTATATAAGCGAACCTTAATTGATCTACAGAATGTATTGTGTGTGAAGTGCTACGAGGTTTAAGGCTTAGTCATCTGCTTTTTATTGCTCATACAAATGGCATTGTTAAGATTTACGGGAAATAAATCGGCGTGATAAAACTCAACGATTTATTTATTGAATACAGCGATAATGTAGAGCGAATAATTCTCTTCTACCACACAACTGACGACAACTTCGGGATGACCTCTTCTTCTTCGAGGGTTACAAAGCCACACCAAATCCCCTGCTTGGAACCCTACTGAATTACCCTTTGCTTAGGGGAAGCAATGTTAGTAAACCCGTTGCCAAATCTTTTATAGTATGTGGATTATCCCAAGAAACTCCTGACTCCTGCCCCAGGAACTCTTCTTCTTTTTTGGAACAGGGGTCATTTTTTCGGATTCAACGTCAAGTTTGCTTCCTTCATTCGTCTGAATACTTCCTCTAGATTAGAAGTGCTCCTAAAATATATTTCCCTTTACCATGATTATTTTAGATAAACCAGTGTCGTAGAGGCACGATTGATAACGCTGTACCCATGATGTTTGGTTATGTTAACTATAAATATATAAACTAAACTGACTGTGTATGTTTGTCTGGTTATAAGCTGTTTCATAACGTTCTATCTTTTTTGCCAAGCAGTAAACTTTCGCATCACTTTGTCCTATCATGAAATATTCTGTAAACTCAACAATGAACTGGCAATCACGGCTGTCTCGTCATTCTCGTAACTTTTTAAACAGTTTAGGTCTAAGCCATGACGGAGATAAGAAAAACTCCAATCAGTGTGGAGACGAGGCGACTAAAGGAAGCGTAATGGCTCCTTTGGTGGCAGCGACTTTCCACCAGTTTTCCTGGTCACAGTGCTCAAGATCTGAATTTAAAAAGATAGTTAAGTGAGTTTATCCGGCAAAGCGCTGCTTGCATTATATAGATTACCCTTTTTTCTCAGGAAATGGAAGTGTTTATCGAATTCTCCAGCCGGTTTGAATGAAATTGTTTTAAATGATACTCTTCAGAATGCTTTCAGCATGGATGAACAATGCCGGATGGAGTTCGGCGACGGGTAAATTCATGCAGTTACCATGGGATTACAGTGAACATATAAACTGTTTATTAAACCGATTTATTTCCGTATTATGGATCAGGCCGAGACGTGCAAAATTTAGTGGAAAACACGTTTGTGTTATGTTCGCAAATATTCGGCCGATACCTCGTTATCGTTATACGTGGGAAAGTGGAAATTCATATGTAGCAGGATCTCCGTTATGAGTTTTGTGTTCACGAAATCCAGTTTATTTTTTCAAAGGGAAGATGGATGTGGATAATTCTGTTTATTTTAGATTTAGTCTTTGTCGAGCATTTGATATTATAGAGCCTTGCTCGCATCTATGGTGTGGTCACGAGAAGTCTCCTTTGGTATGTAAAACGAAGAAAGGATCACCATTAGAAGGCACAGAATGTGGCTTTAACAAGGTAAAAGAAATACACCGGACATAGTTCTAAAAACCACCACACAATTTTTCGTTTAAAGCAAGAAATGATTAAATAGAATCTAGTTTTGTCGCGTTCGACGAATTTTTCATGGCGTTTTATATTTCAGTCGCTGTATTCAAATCGATAAGTTTAAAATTAAATCAGTCTGACTATTTTGTTTGATGTCTTCCTTTGGATAACTTGATTACGTTAAATTCCACGCCTGAATGACGTTCTCCTGGTTTTATTGTGTACACAGTTTATTAATTTGACGCCGTCCTGTTCTTTAATCTCAGATTTCCTTAGAAAATAGAAAATCTGTTCGCTTGTTTTCACTCAAAGTGCGACTTTTTTATTCATTTAAGATCTTACGAGTCAGTTTTTGCAGGAATCGGTTGATTCTCCCTTTAAGTTCGAATTTCACTTTTAATATACAGGGTGAGTCACTAAGTACGCTTATTTTCAGCTATACAGAGGGGTCAGACAAACATATAATTATATTTTGTATCTATGGGGCGGAGCCTAACTGCAAAATTGATATGTATTTCCTTATAAAAATTTTCCATTTTATACATGTTTTTAGTTTCTTGTGGTGAAAATAAGTCTACACATATTAAAACAACAAGGCAAAATGTAAACCCGCCCACTCGAGCTATATTAATTGTGATGATTTTTTTTATTCACCGTGAACCAAGGTGGCGGGGCTTAACTTTAAAATACTTATTTCATTACAAGAAATTAAAACAGGTTTTTGAGTATCGTATTGTTCAAAGAATACTATGTACATTAAGAAAAAAAAGGCAAAATATAAACCCCGCCCACCCACAAGTTTAACTTTTTCCTGGAGAGTGTTTTACAGGCAAGGAGTAGGCCCGCCCACCCACCCCATCTTTCTTCTGGTGACCACTCTTAATACTGTCAATTTTTGACAATACTATTGTCTTATTAAAATCTTCAGCAAATTTGTTAACCCGTAGATGGAGAAAACAGACATTTTGTTATTTTCCTCCTATAAATTATTCGATCTACACCTGATATTTCAGGTTTTTTTTTCTTCTTTTATATTGGTAGCGATGTTTTATTCCCCATATTACACATAAGTATACACCACACATAAATGGTATGTCACATAAAATTACAAAAAACAGAATGTGTAATAAGGAAAATATAAAACACAAATGTAAATAGTCTAAACCGACCAAAATTTTGGACTGTTTTTAATTAATTTTTGAATTCTCTAAATTTAAACTGTTAATTTTTTCTTTTAAACAATAAATTTCGTCTTTTTTTGCTGCAATAAATTTTTGTAGTACTTTGTTTTATAAAATTAATCACCGAAATGGAGGAGGGTGGGTGGGCCGGGTTTATATGTTCTTCTGCAGAGTAGGAGTGGTAAGTAACTGATAGAAACTAGACTGTCGAAAAAACTCTAATCGTAACTTTTGTGCTGTCTATTTGTAATAAGATTTATTTCTTATTTCATACGAAAAAAAAATGAGAGGACGGGTGGGTGGGCGGGGCTAAGTTTAACTTTTTCCTGGAGAATGTTTTACAGGCAAGGAGTAGGCCCGCCCCCCCCCCTCTTTCTTCTGGTGACCACTCTTAATACTGTCAATTTTTGACAATACTATTGTCTTATCAGAAACTTAAAGCATGTTTAAAATGGTAAATTTGTGTAGGGAAACATGGATTTTGCAATTACGCTCCGCCCCTCGGTCTGACAACGAATAAAAAATTCGTCACGATTGAGATTGAGACGGATGGGAGGGGCTTCTGTTTTGGTTTTCTTTTTTAATTAATACATTTAGATTTCTTTGTATAACACGATTAGTTAAGAACATATTTCACATGATAATTTCTCATAGAAAAATAAGAATTTTATAATTAAGCTCCGCCTCTCGGTTTACGGCAAATAAAAAAAATCATCAGAATTGCGACAGGGCGGGTGGGCGGGGTTTATATTTTGCCATTTTTTTCTTAACGTGCATAGCCATCTTTTCATAACAAGAAGGCTTAAATGGTACATTTTTACAAGGAAATATGGATTTTGCATCTATGGGGAGGAACCGAATTGCAAAATCGATATTACCTAATACGAATTTTCCATTTTAAACATGGTTTGAGTTTCTTGTTGTGAAAATAAGTCTACACATATTAAAACAACAAGGCAAGATGTAAAGCCGCCCACCCGCCCTATATCAATTGTGATATTTTTTTTTATGAACCAAGGTGGCAAAGCTTAACTTTAAAATACTTATTTCTTTACAAGACATTAAAACAGGTTCTTGGGTATCGTATTGTTCAAAGAATACTATGTACATTAAGAAAAAAAGCAAAATATAAACCCCGCCCACCCACCCTATCTCAATTGTGGTGATTTTTTTATTCTAACAAACTTAAAACACGTTTAAATTGGCAAATTCCGCTCCTTTGGCTCTCGACGATTTAAAAAAAAATCATCATTATTGAGATAGGGCGGGTGGGCGGGGTTTACAGTTTGTCTTTTTTCTTAATATCGTAGTCATCTTGTCACAACAAGAAACTTAAAGCATGTTTAAAATGGTAAATTTGTGTAGGGAAACATGGATTTTGCAATTACGCTCCGCCTCTCGGTCTGACAATGAATGAAAAATTCGTCACGACTGAGATCGAGACGGATGGGTGGGGCTTCTCTTCTGGTTTTCTTTTTTAATTAATACATTTAGATTTCTTTGTATAACACGATTAGTTAAGAACATATTTCACATGATAATTTCTCATAGAAAAATAAGAATTTTATAATTAAGTTCCGCCTCTCGGCTTACGACGAATAAAAAAATCGTCCGAATTGAAACAGGGCGGATGGGCGGGGTTTATATTTTGCCATTTTTTTCTTAATATACATAGCCATCTTTTCACAACAAGAAGGTCTAAATGGTACATTTTTGCAAGGAAATATGGATTTTGCATCTATGGGGAGGAACCTAATTGCAAAATCGATATTACCTAATACAAATTTTCCATTTTAAACATGTTTCAAGTTTCTTGTTGTGAAAATAAGTCTACACATATTAAAATAACAAGGCAAAATGTAATACCGCCCACCCGCCCTATATCAATTGTGATGAATTTTTTTGTTCGTCGTGAACCAAGGTGGCAAAGCTTAACTTTAAAATACTTATTTCTTTACAAGAAATTAAAACAGGTTTTTGAGTATCGTATTGTTAAAAGAATACTATGTACATTAAGGAATGAATTGTGATGATTTTTTTATTCTTAGAAACTTAAAACACGTTTAAAGTGATAAATTCCGCTCCTTTGGCTTTCGACGATTTAAAAAAAAATTATCACAATTGAGATAGGGCGGGTGGGCGGGGTTTATAGTTTGACTTTTTTCTTAATATACGTAGTCATCTTGTCACAACAAGAAACTTAAAGCATGTTTAAAATGGTAAGTTTGTATAGGGAAACATGGATTTTGCAATTACGCTCCGCCCCTCGCTCTGACAACGAATGAAAAATTCGTCACGACTGAGATCGAGACGGATGGGTGGGGCTTCTTTTCTGGTTTTCTTTTTTAATTAATACATTTAGATTTCTTTGTATGACACTATTAGTTAAAAACATACTTCACATGATAATTTCTCATAGAAAAATAAGAATATTATAATTAAGTTCCTCCTCTCGGCTTACGACGAATAAAAAAATCGTCAGAATTGAGACAGGGCGGGTGGGCGGGGTTTATATTTTGCCATTTTTTTCTTAATATACATAGCCATCTTTTCACAACAAGAAGGTTTAAATGGTACATTTTTGCAAGGAAATATGGATTTTCCATCTATGGGGAGGAACCTAAGTGCAAAACCGATTTTACCTTATACAAATTTTCCATTTTAAACATGTTTTAAGTTTCTTGTTGTGAAAATAAGTCTGATTTAAATTTTATAATGTTGGCAGATCTTTTTCACATACCTGAATTTTTAATTTTCAAATATACTTTGCTACTTGCCAACTTTTTTAACTTTCATTTATAATAAATTAGCAAGAAAGAAAAATGATATCCCATATTTCATATTTATTCTTTTAATTTTAAATTCAATGGATCTGGAATTTTCCACACGACTTTTTGTGAAATTCGATTTAATTAAGTAGTTGAAACTTTTTAAAAGTATCACATCACACGGTCGTTCATTGAACTTCAAATTTTATTTAACTTTTTTTGTAAATGGTAATAAAACATAATTTTAGATGATCTCTAATTTTGAACTCACTTAATATTCTATTCCATCTCGCCTAGTAAAAACCGTTTGGGATGATTACAAAACTTGGAGTCTACTACTAATAACGACGAAATAAATTTTTAGTGGTGCCGAAACGGATATTGTGAAGATATGGATATAAAAAGTTCAGGGCGTGCACCGATAATACAGAATCCCCAAGATGGTGGGTGGAGTAACTGGAGTCCGTGGGGACCATGTTCCAGATCTTGCGGAACCGGAGTTCAGTTCCGAACAAGGAAATGTAATAATCCCACGTAAGAAAATGTGAAACCGTTTTAATAAAAGAGCTTTTACTCTGCGAAATATTTCGCTAATAATATAGGTACATTACAGGCCTTCGAATGGCGGAAATGTGTGTGAAGGGATTTCGGAGAAATGGAGAATATGTAACAATCAAACGTGTCCCGAACCGTTCGGAGATATGAGGGCTCAACAATGCAAGAAATTGCCCAAATTATTAAATATCGTAGGAACGAGACAAGGGAACATGACTTGGTTACCGTACGAAAGCGAGGAAAGTAGGTAGACGAAATTTTATTTCAGATTTTTTTTTAAAGACGGTTGATTTCAGTGGAGAAGAAATGTAAACTGATATGTATCAGCGAGACTACTAATGAGCTGTTTGAGAGCGACGAAAACCTAATTGATGGAACGCCTTGTTCTTATGAAAATACCGACGACATTTGCATTCAGGCAAGTTTCAAGAAAAACAATGTTAACAGAAATTGTAAAATTTTAATGAATAATAAGTAGAGTTAGGAATATTTCTGTATCTCAAGATCGCAATTCAGATTTCACGGTTTCAGAAGAATTACGTCTAAACGCTTCGAAATTTGGCCTCGAACAACTTTGAGATAAAGAAGTGTCCCCAACCCTAAGTTAAATCAATATTTTACTGCAGCGAAACGGTTGTTCATTCCGAACCTACTTTTAACTGGTTGGTGGGGGAATGTTCTTTTAATAAATGTAAATATAAATTTATCTACATTTTGAAAAGCACATCCGAGAATTTTGAAAAACGATGAATTTTTTATATATTATAAATTTCCACCCCACGAATGAGCGTTAACGATTAGAGTGGAAACATATACTACACGAATACGTAACATAACAATTTTGTGTTTAATATTAGCACATCTGACACAAATGTGCAGATTTCGGTGAATAATTAATGGCTAAAAGATGACTCCGTCAGATCCAATAATAAATCACGAATATCCGATCCGGTGGTCGTTAGATGTGGTACATTTTATCTTTTGAGATAAACCAAAATAAAGTTTGGGGAGTTTAATTTGTTCGTGATTGAAGCTAAAATAAACACTAAATTGAAATCAATGTTTTCATATTTTATGAGGTTTTATTGTATCTTATCAGAACGTAAAGTAAACGTTAATGTTATAGATGTATAATTAAATGTTTATCGCATTAAAATTTCATTAATTTATCCGAGATTTACTTCCATATTGCTTCATTAGTTCGTAATACCCAATTATTCATAAGTTTAACCCGAATAATTCCAATCAGATCTAATAAAACCAAGGCTGGAATACCGCGATTTAAACCAGTGAAAGTTCAGACATATCTCAATAACTCCAATAAAACTCGATTTGTTACAATAAAACTTTGGTCGTTGGACGGTTTATATTGCTTTTAATTGGGCATCCTCAGCAAGGGAGATAATCAATATAACTTTTTTGGATGTTTAACCTTTACGGAAACAGTAATCGTCAAGCATTTTTTTAAGTGGGATTGTTTTTGAGTTCTCGCACCAACCAAAATCATTTAAAGTTTCGTCCATCTGATTACTATAAGCACTTAGATTTGATGCTTTATATACGCTTGGCCTGAAAGCAACTAAGCGGTCTAATTAGTGGAAAATGAAAGTTAAATTACTCTTTTAAGCTTTGTCTTTAGAGGCTTATTATTATTTCTTTTGAAGATTTCGATTTAACTATTTACTTACTTCATCCTATGCCTTTGAATTTTTGCTCTACATTTTTCCCTTCATGTTTATATATTCTGGGCATCTTGTTGAATTCCTTCGCCTTTTAATTCCATGTTCTTTTTGTTCGTACACATTTTTTGTTGATCTGTTGTTTGGCATAAGTAATTGGCCGTAATTGTCCTTCTACCATTGTTCTCACTCCTCTATTTATAGTTTTTTTCTGTGTGTGTCATTATTCATCTTGTCCTTTAGTTTTATTTTCTATGTCTTTCGCTATTGCACAGTATTGTTGGTTTTACTATTTATTTTCCCGTTGTTTTGAATTATGGGGCCTACAATTTTAAAACCTTTCACTTGTTATATTTGTTTTATTTTCACTAGATGCTATCATGCTTTTTGTTTACTATGTATTAATTCTAATGATTTTCAGTTCTCTTTGTAACATTTCTAAATTATTTTATAAATAGCCTTCTGTATCTGGTATTAAAAGAAAACATTAGTTCGTTTATTTCCGCTTATTCCATTTCTTAGTAACCTACTGTTAGAGTTTTCATCTTTTTCTTAGCTTTTTTTACTGCTTCATCAAGCACTATCAAGAACAGAAGAGGACTTAGTACACATTTCTGATTTACTCCTATTTTTGTTTCGAAGTTTCTATTTTTCATTGTTACTCCTGATTATTATGTTTCTATTATTTGTACACGTTGGTTTTATAACTTTAATAGCACTTTTATCTATTATTATTTCGTGTCCTATTTTTTCCCTACTTCTCTAGCAATAATAGCTAATAGTTTTTTTTTCTTCGATTATTAATCTAAACATTTTAGCGTTTACACTTGTTATCGTTATTTCTCTGTAATTACTCCTACATTTACATTCACTTGGTATCTTCGTGGTCATTATTATCTGTTCATAAGTTCTCTAAATTGTGTTATTCGTTCTTTTTCCAGATATTGTACCATTTCTAGTGTCATATTGGTACCTAATTCCTAAGAATTTTCGCAATTTTAGCTTTGGCGTCATTAACTTCTTGTTTTTGTATTTTTTCTAGTTTTTGTAAACCATTTGTCTTCTCTTGATTCTTTAAAATGTGGTGGACTGGAAAGCGTCCTTTTATAGTCATCCTCAAATAACTTAGCCCTCAAAATCATCTATTACTTTCCATGACCTCACAAAAGTACTTCTAGGTCTCTTGACTAGACTTAAGACTTGGAATTAAGTTAAAACACATTCTTTGACCAAACATGGTCTGCGATCACACTTCTTTGGTCCAATGTCTTCCAAGAATTCGTTCGAATTGCACCTCTTGCCAAATATGGAGAATTCATTGACTACGAATCAAAACTCAACTCATATGGACGATACATCCTTCAGTCCAAATATGATCAGCAAGATGAAGTGCGTCGCCAATCGAAGCACTTCTAATTAATTATGCGTGTGCATCATATTCTACCCTCGTACATCGACCGATCAAATCTACTTAACCGGTAAATTTGGACCGAGTTCTCCTTTTGCGGTTAAGGTACGCGTCCCTAACACCGACAACCTCATCCAATATGAATAGTTAGATTAGTCCCTCTTTTCCCGGGGTTCCCCCAAATGATGTGCTGCGACCCAAGAAAGCCCCAACAACTCTACTACATTTTGTACATAATGGTATGATAAGGGCACATAATTCTGTTTATTGTCAACTATTATACTCTTTAAGCATACACAATCTTCTCCTAGTCTTTCTTACGAATAAGTTGTTTTAACGAACCATCATCTCCGTTCAGCTGTATCACTTGCTTATTAATAGATTACCTATGGAGCAAACCCACCTTACGTTTAAATTACCCTTCTCAGTTCCCGAAGCGGCCCTTCACAGGTCCGGGACCTAAAAGTCAATTTTTATGAGGATCACTGGCAAAAACTCGAACATAAATGTTGTCGCCATCTTTCCATAATTTAGTCCTTTTCTGTAATTATATTTCCGTCTTTTCCTTTTAAATTCATGTGTTTGTTTTTTTTTTTTTTCTAAGGTGTTGAATAAACCATGGTACAAGGAAACAATATTCCGCATTTTGTGTGACGTCATGTGGCTGTCATGACTGCCAACTTTAAATTATAGGTTTTTGCATGTTCGTATTTTCACTACAACGAACGACGCCAAATTCTGAACACATGTTATTAGAATCTAATTTCAACTTAGCACTTTCAAAGATAAGTTAACCATGATTAAAAACTAAACCGAATCCCAACCTCCGCTATAACCTCACATAGCACTGATATATTGACATTTGACGTCACGTGACTGGTGCCCGAAGCAGACGAAAATTCATCCACCGGAATAGCATACCATGTCTTCTTGTACCATGGAATCAACTAGATTTGGGGTGTCTTAGAGTTTTCTGTCATCCTTTGGTCAAATTTTATCGAAGATTTTTGTTTTGCTTTCTGGACCACCATTTTATTTCGTTTCCTTTATTCTTATATTTTTCATAGTTTTGCGACGAAATTCCGGTGAATGGGCAGCATCGGTGACGGTCCGGAGTTCCGCCAATATCACCTGGAGGCGGCGTGCCTCAATGCCAAGCCCTGGGCCGACTATTACCACTGAAAAGGAACACGTTTGGCCGATCTAGGCTAAGAGGTCACCTTCACGTCACCAAAAGTGGCGCCTTAGGCCGGGAGCGGCGGTGCTCGGGCGCCAGCTGCATCACCGGGGTGGCTCTAAAGCCAGAGACACGGATCTCCAAGTGATCTCGTGAGCGCCCACGAAACAAGAAATTAGACGGAGAAATTTTCTAACAATAATCGGGTTTTTATTTCCTGCCACCAGGTACACGGCTAAAATAATCTTACGACTAAACTTACAATGAAAGGTACAATTCGGTTTACAAAACAGGACGTTCCCTCCTGCACGGTGGCTTCCTTCGGGACAACTCCTCCTGGTCCTGGGAGCGGCGTCCCTGGAACGGGAAACTGCGCGCGGATGGTACGTCGACATGAGAGGGGCTTTCTACGTTTAACAAAAATACGGTGGTCGGTCTCAGGTGGGGTTCTGCACTACTCAAAGACTGAAGGAACTCTGGAGAATAGCCATAGCACGGGGCGAGACACTTCCTTTTTCTCTGACAACTCGAAGAATTCCGTTTTCCAGTCGCGTCGCTGCGGCGATCGCCCTGGCTCTCGGTACTGGTTGCGATTTCCGGTCCGAAAATTCGCCTCGTTACAGTTTTCTGTCTTTTTTATATTCTCTTTAATTTTTGCGTCTATGTCTCCGTGTGTTAGTATTCTGTCTTTTATATACATATATTTGTCGGAGGCGTTATTTAAAAAAACAAAAAAATAAAAGAATTTGGGCACTCAGGATGGAGATACCCCTTCCCCCTCGTGTTCCTGTTTCTTACCATATATGGCTATGGGTCATATAAGACAGTATTTGTGAAATGAACTTTTTTTCAACTCCGCTTGTCATTATTGAACCTTGAGTTTATTATTTCCTTATATTTTTTTTTAGTATTTGGTATTTATTCTTTTTTGTGTGTTCTTTCTTCTTTAAAATAACTGATTTACACTTTTTCGCTTAAAATCGATCTTTACTAGGTTAAGGTCGCATTTTGTTTCCTCTGGTCGACTACTTTTACGTCTTGTATATATTTCTATTTGTGTCTATTGCAACGAAATTCTGGTGGGACGGCCCGGAATCTCGCCAATAACGTGTGGTGGCGGCGTACCTGGGTGCTAAGCCGTTGGCCGACTAGTGCCGCTGATATAAAACACGTCTGGCCGACCTAGGCTTATACCGCAACCTTCACGCCGCCGGAGGCGGCGCTTTCGGTCAGGAGCGGCAGTCGATAGGGCGCCTCCGGGGGAGGGAGCGCCGGGATTGCTCTCAAGCCGGAGACACAAATCTCAGGTGGTGAGCGCCCGCGAAAAACAAGAGAATAAAATAAAACTGCTAGAAATTTTAAACAATAAAACGGGTTTATTCCCTGCCACCAAGTACACTGGTAAAATAATAAATCTTACGGTTAATAAGTCTTAAATAACTACAATAACTACTTTACAAAATAGAAAAAATAACACGCCGGACCGGTTGTTTTCTCCTGAACGGCGACTTCCTTCAAGACGGGCTCGTTCTGGATATGGGGGCGGCTACCTTGAAATCTGGAAATCACACGAGGACGGTTTCGACTTTAGGCGGTAACAAAAATAAGATGACGGTGGTACGGTTTTTCGCTCGGGGGCGGTTTGCACACAGGCAGACGACCCAAAAGATACTTACGAAGGTCGGAGGGTCGGACTGCACACTCTGCCACACTTCCCAAAAATTTTCGAAATAGCCACAGCACATCTAAACCCTTCAATGTTTTCACACAGAATCCTCATTCCGCGAAAATTCGCCTCGTTACACTACTTAAGTACCAGAAAGTAATCTACAATTGACTTCTCGTTCCTATTTTTCTTAATTCTCACATTATTATGGATGTCCGTACATTTGAACTTCGCATTAGCTTTCACTAAATTATTTTCTGTGCTTATTTCTATTATGCTATTTGCGGTATTATTTTTAGTTTTCTCTTTTTCCTTTCTAAATATTCCTTTATACCTACATAATTTTGTACTAGTCCATTTAAATTCCCCATAACTAATTTATTTCTTTGCCCTCGTTTTTATTTTTCACATCCCTGGAGTGGCTTACACCCATTGGCTAGCTCTACTACCCCGAAAATTTGTATAAAAGGGCTTACAGCCCCTAATATCGTTAGATGTACCGAGCACTTTCGGGTCTACTAAATCCTAGGATTCCTAGGAGCGCTCTTTGGATCTCCGTCAAGAATTCGGTATTTAATTAAATTTACCGTGTACTTTGGGGTTTGGTAGATCTTAGAAGAGTCACCTTGGTGAAGTCCGCCTACAGAGATTTACCTTCCACTTTCTGGTTTGGCAAATCCTAGGAGCACTCTTTAGATCTCCCTCAAGAATTTGGTCGACACACATATTTACCGTTTACTTTTAGTTCTGGTAAATCCTCGGGAAGCACTTTCGGGTCTCCCTCCAATTGGATTTATCTACACTTTCGAGTCGAGTAAATCTTTGAAGAGTTTTCTTGGTGAAGTCCGTTTACAGAGATTTATTGTGAACTTTTGGGTCTGATAAATCCTAGAAGCGCTCTTTAGATCCCCCTCAACAATTCGTTCGACAGTTAGATTTACCGTGTACTTTCAGGTCTAGTATATCCTAGGAGCACACTTTGAATCTCCCTCAAGAATTCGGTCGACACATTGATATACCCTGCTCTTGAGTCTGGTGAACCCTAGGAAAGCACTTTCGGGTCTCCCTCTAATATATTCGGACAACAGTTGGATTTGCTGTGCACTTTCGGGTCTGGTAGATCTTTGAAAAATCTCCTTGGTGAACTCCGTCTACAGAGATATACCGTGCACTTTCGGGTCTGGTAAATCCTAGAAGATCTTAAGATCTCCCTTAAGAATTCTGTTGACCCGGAATTTTATCGATTCTAGTAGATCTTTGAAGAGTCCTTTCTGGTAAAGTCCATCTACTGTTAGATTTATCGTCCACTTTCGAGTCTGCTAAATCTTAGAAGCCCCCTTGTTATCTCCCTCAAGCCCTTTGGAATCCTCCCATTTCCGTATGTATGTCTATGTAGACTTTTAGTAGATAGATTATTCTCCGAAACTATCGGACCGCCTGTTGTCAAATTTTATATGTAAGGTATAACAGGTGTAACTGTAACGAAAAAGTGTATAATTACCCCCACCAACAATGTGATGACTTCACCTCAATATTTTACATGATAAATGTTATTTAAATTTTATAAAACCGCAGAAGATTCGATTAATAATAGTTGTGTTTTTGGTTTGAATACAGGGTGTTTGCCACTTCATCGGATGTGACGGTCAATTATTCTCCAAAGTAAAAACCGACATGTGCGGAGTCTGCGGCGGAAATAATTCCGATTGTTCCAATGTCGAATCGATTTTCCGGCGAAAGCTCAAGAGAGGTGTCCCCGCATCAATAATTCCATTACGATTATTACACTGTAATCGATTTATCATTGCAGAAGTTAGCAGGGTCGCCGTCTTGCCGCGAATGGCAACACGAATCAAATTAGAAGCCAACGTCACCATGCATAATAAGGAGCATCCCTCTGTCGCATTTATCCTGAAAAATCGCAGGAAAAAGAAATACAGGATCACGATCCCCAACACCGGATTACGGACGGATATCATCGAAGGCACGAAGTTTTACTACGAGAAATCCAAGAACAAACACAACATTTGGGCTAATGGCCCTGTCCTCGCAGAAATGGTAATACTGGTGAGTGTAAACCGATGTTAATTCCACGCAGAAAGGTGTCGTCTGATTTCATTTGTCTAATGACTAACTTAATTCTGAAGGTATACGCTCCAATTAGTGAGATTGAGGAAGGCTTGAACGTGTCGCTTCGCTCAGAATACGTCATTAACAAAGATGCTTCTGTCTCATCGAATAGGTTTAAGTGGATCCTGGGCGGATGGGGGCCCTGCTCAGCCAGCTGCGGTGGCGGACGGCGTCAAAAGACGGTCGCCTGCTGGGATAATCAGACGCAGAAGTTGGTCAGAAGAAAACACTGCTCTTTGATGACGAAGCCGACGTTGTCTTTTGAGAAATGCAACACGTTCGAGTAAGCGTTTCATCTTAGACTAGCGATCTCTTCATTGTCTTCCTTGAAATAGGCCTCGAGCAACTTCTACCAAGTTATACGCAGTTGTACTAACTTCTCTGCTCTATTTTTCACTCAAAATGAGTATTTTTTCACAACAAAAACTATTCTAAGGAGAATTTTCACATCACGTAAAACAAAGTACATATGCAATAAACGCAAAGAGGCGCATATTAAATATGGTCAAAATCAAAATAATGTTTCAGGAATAAATGTTCAAATTCAAGCTGTGAGAAAATAATTAGAATATAAGCAAATAACACATTAATGTATTACAAAATTAGCATAAAGTATACCTCCCATTTTTCGTCCTTTCTCTCAAAATGGATCAACGTTTCTGGTTAGTTTAAATGCCATAAATGAACTATTATAAAATTTCGAGTGAGTTCTGAAATGTGTATGATCTAAAAACATCCAGAACTTTTAGATGTTATTATTATAAAAAAAATGTTTATTTACATTATTGTAGTTAAATTGTATTAGTATGAATGAAAAGTTAAAAATCTTAACATGAGGTGAACTGGATGAAATCGTTCAATTTAATTTAAATCTAAAATTCAGAAGACCACAATATACAGTGAAACTATTATTTATTTAGTTCGTAGGTTGTTGAATTATAAAATATATGTAATTTGAAAATGGAAACTATATACAAAAGATATTTATGTGCAAGAGATTTATTAAATATCCGAATCATTCATTAAAATCACAAAAAAAAATTGATAATTGCGTGATTTCCACTGAACTCTATATTTGAAAAACACAAACGTAAATGCACCATAGTAAGAAAAAATTTAATAGTGATAAGAGCAAATCAATACCAAAAATATAGAGCTTTAGCTTAAAAATTTGTACAGTCAAAAATGCCAAGGACCATGTATAACAAAGTATTAAAATCAAATCAAATTAATTAAATTTAAACAAACAAGACAAAAAAATTGACTGAAGCTTATTTCGACAGAACTCTCGCATTTTATACATTTGAACAAATATGGCATTTCGTAACATTAAATTTAATTTTGCAAATTTTATTTTTTAATGATAACCCTATAAGTTAAAATAAAGACATACATGGACTGTCAAAGACACTTGAAGAAGCATACTATGGGTGTATTTCAAGTGAGTTTTCAGAAACAAAATTTTGAGATAGCTCGATTTTTTGGGAAGAGGTTAAATTGTAAAACGTTGTTATACAATTGTGATTTTTTTTTTCAAAGATCTGCATGTCTGCGGTAATATAATCTCGACACGTATTCATAAATTTACACGTGCAGGAGTATGTTACTTTATAAAATTTAGGTAACATTTATTCGGTAAAATTTTAAACTGACATCATCATTTTGAGGGTTATAAAGGATACATTTTGATTAGCTATTTACTGTGTCTAATGTCACTGTAAAAAGCTTGCAAAATTTCAGAGCATTCGGTTGTGCAATTTCAGGGTTAAGTTGAAAAATGTTATTATTCAGTTTTGATTTTTTTCCAAAAATCTGAATGTCCAAGGTAAAAACCTTCTCAACACGGATTCATAAACCACAACAAACAATATTTATTATTATTAATACAGAAATAAGGATAGAGATAAAACCTATGCATCCAAATATAACTAAAATGTAATTTGTTAATTTTGCAGATGACGTCATCCTATTGTTGGTGGGGATGATTAGACAATTTTTGGTTAGCGTTTTACCATCTACATTATATTCCTAATACACAGTTTATAAATGTAAGGCACTTAGACAGCAGGTCCCAAAATTAAACTATAAATTTTACATGCTACCTATTATTTTGGTGGTAAGACATAAATTCAAAGATTGATAAGCATAACTTAAGCTTAAGTTCATGTTTTTGAGTATCGTGTTGTTCAAAGAATACTATTTATATTAAGAAAAAAATAAAGGCAAAGCTTAGGCCCCACCCATACCTGCCCCGATCTCAATTCTCATTTGTGATGAATTTTTCGTTCGTTGTCAGATCGAGGGGCGTGGCTTAATTACAAGATTTGTCTACAAGAATTTACCATTTTAAACACGTTTAAAGTTTCTTGTTCTCAAAAGATGGCTATGTATATTAAGAAAAAAAAGTCAAAATATAAGCCCCACCTGCCCACCCTATCTCAATTGCGATGATTTGATTTTAAATGGTCGAGTGCCAAAGGAGCGGAATTTAATTAAATAATTGCAAAATCCTCATTATTTCTCTACAAGAAATTAAAATGTAAGACAAGTTTTTGAGTATCGTGTTATTCAAAGAATACTATGTATATTAAGAAAAAAATAAAGCCAAAGATTAAGCTCCACCCATACGTGCCCTGATCTAAATAGTAATAAAGTTTTCATTCGTTGGCAAACCTAAGGGCGGAGCCTTTTGCCAAATCCATATTTCCTTACAAAAACTTACCATTTCCAACGTGTTTCAAGTTTCTAAGAGTAAAACAAATAATCACAATTGAGATAGGGTGGGTAGGCGGGATTTGTATTTTGTCTTTTTTTCTTAATATACTGCTAGTACAAAATTCAAAACAGGGTAAAATCTTTGAAAAATGTTAATTTTAATATATACTTCAAAAATAAGGGTAAAATGCTTAAAAAACAAAGTGTTCTGAAGGGGCCTTACTAGTAGTTTATTATAACTACAAGGGCTTACATTTTGCCCTTTTTTCTTAATATGCGTAGTCTTCTCTTCACAACAAGAAAACGTGTTTAAAATAGTAAATGTTTCTGGGAAAGTATCGATTTTGCAATTAGGCTCCGCCCCTCGGTCTAACAACAATTCATTGAGATTGTGATGAATATGGGTGGGGCTTAATTTTGGCTTGTTTTTCTTAACATACACAGTATTCTTTGAACAACACGATACTCAAAAACATGTTTTTCATTTCCTGTAGAGAAATAAGGATTTTCAAGTAAAATCCGCTTTGGCTCACGACGAATAAAAAAATCTTCACAATTGAGATAAGGCGGACGGGCGAGGCTTACATTTTGCCAATTTTTCTTAATATCTGTAGTCATCTTTTCACAACAAGAAACTTAAAACATGTTTAAAATAGTAAATTTGTGTAAGGAAATATCGATTTTGTAATTAAGCTCCGCCCCTCGATCTGACAACGAATGAAAAATTCAGCACGATTGAGATCGAGGCGGATGGATGGGGCTTCTCTTTCGGTTTTCTTTTTTAATTAATAATTTTAAGTTTTCTTTGTATAACACGATCACTTAAGAACATATTTCACATGGTAATTTCTCGTACCAAAATAAGGATTTTACAATTAAGCTCCGCCCCTTGGCTTACGACGAATTAAAAATTCATCAGAGTTGTGATAGGGCGGGTAGGTGGGGCTTATATCTTTTCACAACAAGAAACTTAGAACATGGTTAAAATGGTACATTTTTGCAAGGAGATATGGATTTTGCAATTATGGGGCAGAGCCTAAATGCAAAATTGATATTTCCCTATACAAATTTTCCATTTTAAACATGTTTTAAGTTTCATGTTGTGAAAACAAGTTTACACATATTTAAAAAAAAGGCAAAAGTAAGCATTATGTAGATGGTAAAACGCTAACCAAAAATTGTCTAATCATCCCCACCAACACTAGGATGACGTCATCTCCAAAACTAACACTAGTAAATTATATTTTAGTTATATTTGGATGCATAGGTATTATCTCTATCCTTATTTCTGTATTAATAATAATAAATCTTATACTATTAAACGAGCAAAGTTTGTATATATATATATAATGGGTTTCTCGAAAACGGCTCTAACGATTTCGATGAAATTTACAGGTTGGGGGTTTTTTGGGTCAAGAAATCGATTCATCATAGTTTTAACTTCTGAAAATTACAGCTTCATACATTTTCAGCAATTTTCAGGCGGTGAATTATATTTGTTGCTCGGCAACATCAGATGACACTACACGAACACGAGATTGTTTTAGAGAAGTTTGGGTGACAGTACGTTTGATGTACCTTTTTATCTTCAACGGTACGTACCGAAACGTACTCCACTGTATATAGGACGTTAAAATTCACCTTCTGAAGTGAGAAAATTTACGGAAAACTAAACAGCGGATAAAAGGCGCACGAAAGTGCGTTGAAATGAGGTTATTTTGTCAAGCATTAATTTCGGAGGCTTCCACGGTCGGTGTCCATATATATGATCGTTTTCCGGGTTGGGACCGTGTTATTTGAGTTTGAGTGGCATCTTCATGAGCAGAGTTGAGAAGTAAGGAATAACGCAAAAGAGCACGGTAACTCAGTATGTTAACCATACCAGAGGGAAACTCTTCTGGCAGTAAGAATCAGTAAGAATGTAGTGAAGAAAAAAGAGAACGACACACAAAGAGAACTTGGGTAATAAATGACATTGTAATAAATATCAAACAATAATTCCAGTTTTCTATTCTTAAATCTCTACATGCCACTGAACAGTGTTTAAAACAAAGACTGCTTACGGAATTTCCTTTTTAATGTGTATTTTTAATTAGTGCGGGTACTTCAAAACGCATACTATAGGTACACCTATTTATCTGTCCTAATCTGATCTAATACTACCAAACGAGCCGAGTGAAGCTCGGTCAACCAGATATTATTGTTTAAACTTTATAAAAAAGATACCTCTGCACTCGTGGTTTCTGAATCCGTGTTGAGAAGGTTTTTACCTTGGACATTCAGATTTTTGGAAAAAAATCAAAACTGAATAATAACATTTTTCAACTTAACCCTGAAATTGCACAACCGAATGCTCTGAAATTTTACAAACTTTTTACAGTGACATTAGACACAATAAATAGCTCATCAAAATTTATCCTTTATAACCCTCAAAATGATGCTGTCAGTTTAAAATATTACCGAATGAATGTTACCTAAATTTTATAAAGTAACATACTCCTGCACGTGTAAATTTATGAATACGTGTCGAGATTATATTACCGTAGACATGCAGATCTTTGGAAAAAAATCACAGTTGTATAACAACGTTTTTCAATTTAACCTCTTCCCAAAAAATCGAGCTATCTCAAAACTTTGTTTCTGAAAACTCACTTGAAATACACGCATAGCATGCTTCTTTAAGTGTTTTTGACAGTCCACACATGTCTTTATTTTAACTTATAGGGTTATCATTAAAAAATAAAATTTGCAAAATTAATTTTATGTTTCGTGATGCTATATTTGTTCAAATGTATAATATGCGAGAAAAGTTCTGTCGAAATAAGCTTCAGTCAATTTTTTTGTCTTGTTTGTTTAAATTTAATTAATTTGATTTGATTTTAATACTTTGTTATACATGGTCCTTGGCATTTTTGACTGTACAAATTTTTAAGCTGAAGCTCTATATTTTTGATATTGATTTGCTCCTATCACTATTAAGTTTTTTCTTACTATGGTGCAGTATCTAATATTTCCTAGGTTCTGTATTTTTTTTTTATCTTACGTTTGTGTTTTTCAAATTATAGAGTTCAGTGGAAATCATGCAATTATCTTTTTGTTTTGTGATTTTAATTAATTATTCCGATATTTACTAAATCTCTTGCACATAAATATCTTTTGTACATAGTTTCCATTTCCAAATTACATATATTTTGTAATTCAACAACCTACGAACTAAATAAATAATAGTTTCACGGTATATTGTGATCTTCTGAATTTTAGATTTAAATTAAATGTGATTTTATGGACAATGTCCGAAACTACCTACTTGATTACTGTAAAATTTCCGTTATAATTTAAGAATATCGGTACACAGCAAAACGCTAACCAAAATTTGTGTATTAATCCCCACCTAAAACTTAATGACGTCAACTCAATATTTTGTGAGGTTTATTCATTTGAAAATAAAATTTACAAAAAAATAAATTTTGTAGTTCATTTTTAAAATTTATTTATTGTATCTAAAAAGAGTAAAGTTAGAGTAAAATATTTCGTTATGAATTATCGGATTTATTAGAAAAAGGTTAATAACAACAATAATAACATCACGACTATATACTTAACTCTTTGGTTGACAAAGAGAACTAAAATTTCATGCGACAAGCCTGGCCACTTCATCAAAAGTATGTGCTTTATTGTGACCCAAATAATTGAATAACTTAGCATATTTAACTTCAAAGCTTGAGCACTCTCTCCCTACTGTCGCTGCACACAAATAAATATTTTTTCCCGATGAACCCATTTTGTCCTCTTGCTGAAGCTATTATTTTATTATTATCACTGTCAAAAGTATTTATTAATACAATTTTGTTACATAGAGGAAATAAAATAACGAAATCCTTATCACCACGTACTAAAATATCGATTTCAGAAAAAGACGGTTATTTTTATATGCGCGCGTATTATGAAAACATTACTTTACATTTGTTTTAAAAAATTTTAAAAGGTCTAAAAGTCTTTCGTTACAACTTACTTACGCCTCCAGAAGCAATTTCATTGACCTTTGTATTACGAAATTCAATAGCTTGTCGAACATGGATCTAATGTTTCTGAGTTCCATCAAATCCAATTCTAGCTTTATGTTACAACTTGGTTAATAAATTTAACCTGGGAGAACATTTCCTCTTATGTAATTCCAAATGTATCAGAATTACAAATAATACATCATGACGCTGTACACAGTTTTCTCTTACCACTGCATTTACTTATTTTCGAGATAATTATATTTAAAGAAATACTACCAACACATGATATAATATTGTCCATTTTCTGTACACATACACTGGCACATGGTTTCATATTTTCAAACGAACCTTGTTTTTATCCACTCTACAGAAATCCTGATTAATTATTCCCTTAAACTCTAGGAATTAATATTTTCCATTCAACTGTCAACGTCCTAATCGAATAATAAATGATTGCACTTAAATTAAATTCAGCAAAAAACTATTTGCCAGATGTGTATTAAATTAGCTCAATGTAGACACATTTCTCGTTTGGTGGAGTGCGAGCTTTCACAGCCGCTATCAAGATGATGAATTGTTTCCGCATGATGTGACGGTCGTCGTGTTCAATTTACTGACATCTCGAAAAACATTCTACTTTATTTTCAATGGAAGTTCAAAACTGATGAGGTGTGTCCAGGCTGGGATTTATATCCTGTTGTTTTCGATTGAAGCCGCCGGTGTGTGCGACCATATGTTGTCGACAGATTAATTCGTTCGACAGATTTTTTTTTGTTTCACAAAATTTTTCTCGGTTTCTTAACTACAGCAGTAAGGAGTTGTTTTTTTTTTGTTTGCGCATTTTTGGGACAGATTCATGGATAACTATATTTTTTGTTTTCAGTTGTCATTTTCAATGGATTGCCGGACAGTGGGAGCATTGTAGTACCACTTGCGGTTTACATGGTGTCCAGTACAGAGAACTGTATTGCGTTCCTCAGGCCGTACTGAATAAAATGTTGTTCCAAAATAATGGCACAATTATCGACGATCCCTGGAAACATATGGTAAACCCGAACAAATGTTCGGGAATTACGCCCGTAATGAAAAGACCTTGTAATCAATTCCCATGTTTTTCGTACTGGACTTACGGCGAGTGGTCACAGGTTAGATCACACTATGTATAAATTAAAATATAAATATTTGTTTTCAGTGCTCTGAAAGTTGTGGCACCGGCATATCGCAACGTTCCTCTTATTGTCTTCCGCCCAATGGAGAAACTTTCTACACTTGTGGAGAATCACCACCGCGTGTGGAAAAACGTGTGTGTCGAAATAACACAAAATGGACTAATCCAGCATGCAAAAGACGAAAACAGAAATCTTGCGTGGTGGATAAGTCAGAATTTTGTTCGTTGAGTGAATTGGCAAAATATTGTAAAATTGGGGGTTTTAGGAGACAGTGCTGTAAAACATGTTCTAATTTTCTCTTAACTCCTATAACTAGTTAAACTGTGCTTAATTTTTTTTATAACTCCACAATCCGCATTATACTATAATTAATATAAAGGTGTTTTTTTTCAATTTACTCAAGCAAATCATACAGCGTTACCGATAGCGGTACATTAGACACAGCAATTATTTTAAATTCGTGGTCTGCTTTTACACATGCGCATTTTGTATCCTCTGGTGTTTTGTTGTGTTGGTATTTTGGTACGCTTGCATTCCTGAAAGTTGACTGTTTGACAGGTAAGTGTCCTTTCTGTTGCGTTCTTTTCAAAATTATTAAATATCTTATTCATCTTGTAGCAAAATGGTCTGCCGTGACGACCAATAAACATTTAGTAATCGGTTAAATGTGGCTTATTTAAAATTTTTTGAAACCATGGCTGAAATCGAAGAATTCACGTGTTTAACCAAACAGTTATCCATCGAAGACAAAACTCGCTTGGAGCACCAAAACACAAGACTGGTAACCGATTACAAAGCTCAACTTCTAGAAAAAGATGCTCGAAAGTATTGGGATTTATTCTATAAACGGAACGAAACACGTTTCTTTAAAGACAGGCATTGGACAACCCGAGAATTTACGGATTTACTTGACTTTGAATGTGCGACGAAAAGAACTCTCTTGGAAGTAGGATGCGGCGTGGGTAATTTCATTTTTCCACTGATTGAAGAAAAATTGAACTTCTATATAATCGCGTGTGATTTATCACCAAGAGCTGTGGAGATTTTACAAAAGAATCCACTTTATAACGAAGAGTACGTACGGGCTTTTCATACGGATATCACCACTGAAGACGTACTTGATAAAATTGAGCCCAATAGTGTTGACATTGTTACTTTAATATTTGTATTGTCAGCCATACACCCAGACAAGTTTCTTAGTACATTGAAAATCATCTATAAATTGCTGAAACCAGGCGGAATTGTTCTGTTTCGAGATTATGGGTTGTATGATATGGCACAACTGCGATTTAAGGCAGGACATAAAATTTCAGACAATTTTTATATGAGACAAGATGGGACAAGGTTTGTTGGCTTGGTATTTTTTTATGTAAATTATAGTTGCTATTTTAGGAGTTACTACTTTTCAGTAGAGTTTTTATCAAAAATATTTCTTGAGAGTAATTTTGAAGTGGTGTCTGCTACTTATGTTCATAGAAGAACCATCAACAAAAAAGAAAACATTGATGTTCCAAGGGTCTTTGTACAGGCAAAAATTCGAAAGCCAGTTTGAGGTAAATAAAATTGTTTTCATGCATAATGTAATTGAGTTTGTTTAGTGATGAATTCATAGTTCAGATGAATTTATGATTACACTTGATATTTAGTCTTTCACCCCTAACTGAATTGCTTTATAAAGCTAAGAAAAATTTGTTTTGGTAAACAATTTTTACATAAAATTTTGTTTCAGATATCTTCAATTAAAAGAGAAAGGATGAAATTCATATAGGGTGCTAAGTTGGGTAAGTTTTAATCATTGAAATTTATCAATTATTCCAGTCTTAGTTAATTCATGATGAATTCATAGTTCAAATGAATTTGTGATTACATTTGATATTTAGTCTTTCACCCCTAGCTGAATTTTCATTCATCAGTATAAACGTTTTTTTTTTTGCAAACAGTTTTTACATAAAATTTCGTTTCAGATGTCTTCCAATCATTAGAGAACGGATGAAAAAGTGCTAATTTGGGTAAGTTTTAGTTATTTCAGTTTTATAAAAATTTAGAGGGTAATTATCAACGGGCGGAATTGTGTTTCATATGCTAGATCCAGTGCTGTCGCGGCGATAGTTTGATTACAAATATATTTTTCTTTTGGACTATATAACCATTATATAACATTTCAAGATCACAGATCTGTGGTCCTGTGTTTGAAAAATTAAAAAGGGCATCGAGTATTATTTTTTGAAGTAATATAGTAATATAGAAGTAGTTTTTTAACAAGCTGTAAACACTCCTAGCGACGCACTGGCTACGACCTTGTGGACCAGATCAAAGCGTCCCCGCTACTCGCCGTAAAACACACCTTGCTTCAACTGGGGAATTGCATCCGTAAGATAAATTTCCGCCTACTGGTAATTATCAATCATTTTACTCTTTGTTAGTTTATGATGAATTCATAGTTCAGATGAATTTATGATTACACTTGATATTTAGTCTTTCACCCCTAACTGATCAACTATTGATTAATAAGAAGATTTATTTCTAATATTCAAGCAAGTTCTAAATATAATTTTGTTTCAGATATTGCACTTAATGATGAATGCGAGAACATCACAGCTTTTAATTCTGGTAAGTTTTGGCCATTTGGTGAACGTATTATTAATACTAAAGGACTTTTTTTGATCTTATGATATTAAATGATTAAATTAAATATTTTTTGTACTTTTCAAATAATTCATGATGAATGCATAGTTCAGATGAACTCATGATTACATTTTTTGTATAGTCTTTCACCCCTAGCTGATTCAAATTTAAATGTAAAATTAAAACAGGATTTTTCTAAGCAATCTTTTATAGAATCTTGTTTTTTTTGTTGCAGATGTCTTAATTGCATTGAAGAGAACGGAGTTTAACGCAGATCTCTGATTTTGGTAAGTTTTAGTTGTCTTAACTTATTATTAAAATTCTCGCGAGTATTACACATATTTAAGTGCCTCTTTCTTGTGTGTTTTCTTAACACTTAAAGTATGAAATAGTTAATGTTTTCCTTATTTAAAAATAAAGTTGTTGATTGATTACATATTGGTGTTAGTTTTTGCTACCAGATGACGGATTACTAATTTACGTATCTAGAAAAACATTTTATATTTGTGTTTTTTTATTATTAATTTTCTTCTAAATTATTTTAGTCAAACAGTGTTGCTTTTCCAGTCTTTTTAATTCTGAAGTCAAAACTTTGCAGTGATACTATAAGTAGTTGAATTAATTTTTTGAAATTGAATCCACTTGCACTAATTTGCTAATTTTTTTCAGGAGGAAGTGGCTGTGCAGTTCCGGATTGAGGACAGGATTAGATAGAGAGGAAATATTGTCAAAATTATTGAAAGACTTTAAAAAAATATTTATTTCTTCTACTTCTGAAATATACATAAAATATCCTGAAACAATTTGGTACAGTGAATGATCCATAATTTTAGAAGTATTTACAATAAAAATAGTCGCTCAAAGTATAAAGTACTTTTTTTTTAAGTCCACTATCGCAATTTCTCCCAATCAAATAAGTGGCCACATGGCTACGAATTTTTATTCGTAAATAAAAAAGTAAGGTTAAGATAGGTATTTGGTGAAATCAGTAAACGTGGTATAGTTTCCCCAGTTCTAATTCGGTTTTATGATATTACTCCATTCTGTAAAAGTTAACTTCCTTAACAATAGATTACTACTGCCGGTGATAGGACATCATAAATAAGGATTTAACCATGCCGTTACCATTCAAACATCCCGCCTTAAATTAGCATGTAAAAAAAATTGAAAGCCCGCGAAAAATTCAAAATTTGGCCTTGGCCGTGATCGTCTAATAAAAAGGAAACTTACTTTGTGTTTTTGAAAAATGGCGGGATGCGTCCACCCCAAAGTTGGAAAAGTACCGCTAAATAAAACACAAAATTATTTATTCCTCCACTGTCACGGAGTCGCTGTTCAGCTCCAAAAAAAAAAACTTTGAATGACTTGGAATGAAATCAAATTAAACGTTCTGAATCAATGCAAATGTTTGAATATCACAAATTTAGTAAAAACAAATCAAAATCTGAAGTAAAGTAATTGGCTGCAAATACACAAGTTATTACAGGTGTATGGCGGCATATTTAATATTGTGGCAGTCAACAAGAGCGCAACAAAAATCCTCATAGGGGCGTTCTAGTACAAGCGGAGTTTGAGGCTACCGGTCGTGGCTGTTCCCCTCGCGACGGCGATTCTACCTATCGCAATAGCAATTCTCTATTACGGACAAGCCGTTATGATCGCAAACTCGCAGTTAGGTCCCAGCTATCACGAAGCCGACAGCGTTACGTCATCTCTACCGCCCCTGAATTCTAATCTAACCTGCATCTTTTGTGCAGATGGCGCGATAAATCTCGCCCGCTCGACTAGGAACCGCGCACTCCGCTTCTGCCACGTATCTCGGTGTTATTTACCTCAATTTCATTTTAAATGTTCACTTTCTATGACTCTGATATTAACGACAACTGAACAAGTGTTTAAGTTTCAAACAGAGCAATAAACAATATTTAAATTCGCCATACAATCTTGTGAAATTTTAAACAAGAAATAATTCTTGTTTGAGATTAACAAAACATTTACATAAAAAAACTAGCTAAGATTTATGAAAACAAAAGATCTGGTGTGAAATAAAACTTGTGCAGATAAAAATATTACGCGAGGTTAAAACTGCAGAGCATGGAAATTTACGTTCAATTTAGATTATAGAACAAAGAAAATGACTGAAGTTAAAATTGTGAGATAGAGAAATAAGGTGAAAAATTGCAAAGTTAACAAAATATACATGAGATTAATATTTGCCACACTTTATCAACGATTCAAACAAAGAGTTTACATTATTTTAAATTATGTCTTATCCAAGTGGTTGGTTACTTAAAAACCATAGCTTTGAGAGTTTATAATATGGTGAACTGCTTACCCTAAACAAAAACATGATAAATAAACACAAAAATGTCCAGTCAGCGTTGCGAGGAATAAGCGTCTCGGTGATGTAAATTTTAGCGTTGCGAGGAAATGCCTTGGTGATGTAATCTTCCACGTTGCGAGAGAATGGGTCTCAGTGATGTAATCAATCTTTAACTTTGCGAGGAAATTCCTCGGTGATGTGATGATGATAACGATGATAACTGCCTAAGGGAAGAAATTATTTTAATCCCCCCCCCCCCGCGCGCGATAGTTTACGATATGATGAATTTCGTTAATATAACTGCCGTTAAGGAACTGTTTGCAATAATGTGTTGTAATGTAACACATATATGCATCCAGAAACCTCATTCCTAATTAAACAAACAAAGGGTGTTATCCTGACTAAGTGAATTTCATAAAATCTCTTATTAAGTGTCCGTTAAATTGTGTTAGCACCAGTTAACGATTAAAATCCTAACCTGATCGGTGAATTTACAAACAATAAAGCAAATTTACAGCACGTGAAGCGTCGGGCGAAAATTTGCACTTTTTCTGATTATAAAGGCGCAAGAATTAACTGCGCGTATTGGAGAAAACTGTGACGTCATTCAGCCAACTAATTTAACCTAGCTAACTTACAGCGTCGTTTTCACCATGCTCCCACACACCGAACCAAACAATAATGACGTTTTCACCATGCCGCTATCTTGTCTACTACTACCGCCCTCTAACTAACAAGCAGAACTACCAACTACCAGAAAAAGAACTAAACGTGCACAAGGCCTATGTTTAACAATTTTTTTGATTGAATTTTTTTCTCAAATTCAAATTATTCAAATGTGATTTCGCGCCACTATTAATTAATTTCAGGGCGAAAATTTGATTCAAATTCGGTCACCACACTATTGTTAAGAAAGTTAACCTCTTCACATCATAAAACCGAATTAGAACCGGGGAAACTATACTTTCTGGTATTGTTAAATTAGAATCTAGTTGGAGGACTGATTAACGTAGGTCTTCATGCCTGAACCATTTTCTTTTGGCAAGGTATGCTTAAATTTTGAATTTTCTAGACGCCTAGAGGCTGCCTGTAGTTCTGCCACTGCGGCTGTACAAAAGTTACCAAGTGTATAGGGGAAATTTAATAAAAAAATGGGTAGAAGGTTCTTCTGATAGAATCTCCTCTTCCCTGAAGTACAATACAGCAAATTAAGTACCCTAAGCATTTTCGAAAAGTTATAAGGTTTGATTTTGCGTATTTCATTTATTTATGATTTTGGATATTTCATTTATTTATTTATTTGTAGGTAAGCCTTATGATATGCGTTATATTAAAGTAAAGGCATTGGTAAAGGTAGGGAAACATGCTATACTACAAAATTTTGTGATGACGTCAACATTTTGGCAAGGACAAAATAATTGTAATAAATTTCGCGCCGAGAGAAAAACAAAACGCCCCGAAACCGCATTTAAATAATTTGAAATTAGTCAGTACATTGTCAGCCGTGTGTAGAGACCTTTAGTTAGGGTTGCAATGTACAACTTCAGGTTGAAAATTTAATGGTCACTTCACCCAATCATTTTCTTTTGAACGCGTTGTGTCACTTCTAGGTAACAGTGCTAGTGTAAACACGTGCTGAAAAATAGAGGTACGTTAAATTTAGTTTATGAATTTATAAAAGAGCATTTATTTAAACGAAATTTAATCGTAGCATAAAATTGTTCATATAACCTACGTGTCAGGAAATTCACTTATTCGGGCTTCAATTTTCGTTTATCACGTTGTCACTAAAATTCGACATGCTTTTACCTAAGTATTACATTGTAACTCATGTCTTAATTTCTCGCTCGATTACTAATAGTTCATTTACAGCATTTGACCTGTTCTAAACGTTGATCCATTTGGAGAGCAGGTACTAGCCCCGCCCACCCACCGTCTCTTTTTTAGATGGTATACCACTTCCCAAAATCAGTCTTAGGAGATACCAGCCTTGCCCACCTGCCCGCTATTTTCTTAGAGGGTTGTAATAACCCAAAAATTAAGACATGCGTACAAAGTTTTTAAAAATCCGCGAAAAATTCCAAACGTGGCCTTGAACTGTGATCGTCAACAAGATGGGACCCTGCGTTTTGTTTTGAAATGGTGGAATGTGTTCTGATGCAAAGGTGGAAGAATGGCCTTGAATTAATGACACAAAAATATGGCGAAAGATTACAAATTTCGATCACATAAACAGCAACTATATTCCCTCTACCGCATAACACACGACACTGGCTACCCTCAGCATAGTTTCCTTTACCAGCAGGACATCTTCCGCATATTTCGTGTTGGCGGCAACCGGTATGCGAATAAACAGTCATATGAATAACAGGAAAAATTTGTCAATCTAGACTTTGGGCCGAACTCGCCAACCGAATTCAATAAAACAAAATTAATGAAACAAGAATACATCGTGGATCGAATTCCCCAACACATAAATACATAAATCATTGTTCAATATGGTCAAAAACACACAATATCGTTCTGTACGTACGTCGCTTTGAGGGGTACGTCCGAGAATAAATGTTCCAAAATTGGAGTCATAGAAAACATAAAACATCAATCTTCAAAATTTAAATCTTGAATACTGTCCATTACATGTTAGAATTCCAAATGGGCAGGTACTCGCCCTACCTTATCTTGGCAGGTACTAGCCCCGCTCACTTGCCCTCTATTTTCTTAGCGGGTTCATCAGTTGCCAAAATCATTCTTATCTTAGCAAGTAAGTAAAAATTTCCATTAGTCAAATTAATATCCTCCTGGACTCAAAAATAGAGGAGGGCTTTGATATTTTTCTTACAACTTTAATAGTTTGGTTCAGGCGTAAATAAATATTTTTTTTGTTACTTGAATTCGAACATTTATTCCCGACGACGTCGCTTTAGAGCCCAGCGTTTCCGAAACTAGCTTATTGTAATTTTAATCGTATTGAATGTGTTTTTTGAAATTAAATCTGTCACTTTTGGTACGACCAAACAATTAAGTTAAGAAGAGTAACACCTTTTCTGGAACAAATGACGGACGGACATCGAAAAAATTTACAATTGTGAGTTTTCCATATAACTGCTCCATTGTCGGTTCCATAATACCCTAATCTCACAACAGCCAAATAACCTTACATAATTTGGAAAATTTATGATAAAGGTTGTTTTATACATAGTTTGGTACCTAAAATACGATTCAAATTGGAAAACAAATGGAACGTATTATGAATATCGTTTAAGAATTAATGGTCCCAAATATTGATTGCAATTGTTACCTACATCTAACACATTTCTTGTAATGTTACATAAAGTAGTCCAAAAGCTGTAAAGTTATATGACCATCATAAAAGTAGTTGGCCTTTGTATGGTTGGCACTAAGCATACCGGTTGGCAATAAATCGTCTTCTAAACATTTAAACTTAGGTAGTTAGATATTTAGTGAAAGCCGCCCCTGAACAAAACGACAACAGCCGGTCGAGCTGCAGTGGACACGTTATTTACGATCTTAAAACCTTTTTTATTGTAAACGATTTAACTTCGACACAATGGGATAATTTTATGATGGCCATATAACCTTATAGCTTTTGGAGTACTTTCTATGTATGTCTCTTGCTTAGTGGACATATTTTCCGTGACAAGTGAGTGTTCCCCAGTTGACAACGTCAACGATACTTCAATTATTTCCATTAATTTTACCACCAGTAGGTAATTGCTTTGTTATCATGTTTCTGAGACCCACTGGGAAACTCCTTGCCATAAACAAACATGGATGTGCCGTCATTACACAAAGGTTAAACTCGTGGTGGAGCCAGGTCCAGATGGGCCCTCCTGACCCCATTCTGGGTATAACTGAAGCCTACAAACGCGATACCAACCCCAACAAGGTTAATGTAGGAGTGGGAGCTTACAGGGACGACAACGGCAAGCCGTTCCTGCTTCCTAGTGTACTCAAGGCTGAGAAAATAATGATGTCACAGAATTTGGATAAAGAGTACCTCCCTATTTCTGGGCACGCCGAGTTCTGCAGACTCGCCATTTGCTTAGCTCTTGGAGAAGGTTCCGAGGTACTGATTAACGGGTTAAACGCTACTGCGCAGAGCCTTTCCGGCACGGGTGCACTAAGAATGGGGAATGACTTTCTCAAACGTTTCTTCCCAGGTAACAAGATTGTGTACTTACCCAAACCTTCATGGGGCAACCACACCCCGATTTGCAAGTTTGCCGGGTTGGATGTGGGGGCTTACACGTACTATGACCCAGAATGCTACGGGTTAGACTTCGATGGCGCCCTCTGCGACATTTCCAAAATCCCAGAGAAATCCATCATCTTGTTGCACCCGTGCGCCCACAACCCCACGGGCGTCGATCCCTCCCTCGAGCAGTGGAAAGAGCTCTCCCAGCTCATCAAAAAACGCAACCTCCTCCCCTTTTTCGACATGGCTTACCAGGGCTTCGCCTCCGGGGACATCGACAGGGACGCCCAAGCCGTGCGTCTCTTCCTCAAGGATGGCCACAAGATAATGCTAGCGCAAAGCTTCTCCAAGAACATGGGCTTGTACGGCGAGAGGATAGGCGCTTTCACCGTCGTGACTGATAGCCAGGAAGAGGCGGCCAAAGTGATGTCCCAGATCAAGATTTTGATTCGTTCCATGTATTCGAACCCGCCACTCCACGGCGCGCGAATCGTGGCCACCATCCTGGGCGACTCGGACTTGCGCGCTGAGTGGCTGAAAGACGTGAAGGGGATGGCCGATCGCGTTATTTGGGTACGGGCGAAGCTGAAGGAAAACCTGAAGAAGGCGGGGTCGACGAAGAACTGGGATCACATCACCAACCAGATCGGGATGTTCTGCTACACGGGGATGACGCCCCCACAGGTGGAGAAGCTCATCAAGGAGCATAGCGTGTTCTTGACGAAAGATGGGAGGATTTCGGTGGTGGGGGTCACTTCCAAGAATGTGGAGTACCTGGCTCGTGCCATGCATGAAGTTACCAAATAAAAGGGTGTAAATAAACCATTTAATTTAAGCATTTAGAGGTTTGTGGTTTTTATACACATATTTCCTGAAATTCTACACATTTCCTGAGGTAATATAGGTCTTCTACTTGATTATTTACACTTGTAGTACAAATAAATCTGTTGACAAAGTCGTTTTCGGACTTATGGTGCTAACCCAGTCATCCTTCCTCGATGATTTTACCCTGTTGACAGGTAAAATTTCTATGCCCGAAAAACCTGCCGCATATTATATTCTCTACCCGGTCTTCGCAAAGTTTAACTTTGAAACTGCAAAACTGAATGCTCAAAAATCTTGCAATCGTTTTAAGGTTATCGTAATCATGGTAAATCTTTAATCAAAATTTATTCTTTTATCCAAAAGTTTTTCCAAAAAAATTATGACTTCATCTCAAAATTTTACCAAATAAATCCTCTCTGAAATATTCAAAATATAAGTCTATAATTGTGGTTTATCAATACACTCGTAGATTTTAGAAATACTTATACAGGCTGACCTAAAAAAATAATAAATGAGGCAGTTTATTATATTGTTTAAAATCAAGAATGATTTACTCCATTTTCCCGAAAATGTAATGTTATTATTAGTATTACACCGCATCCATTCAAACTGATGTTGTGTCCTTGCAAAAATTTTGTGGTGACGTTATCACAAAATTTTGTAATAGAAAAACTCACTTGAAACAAATGGGTAGAATGCTTCTTTAATTTTAGTTTAATATTACATATTTTTATTTTATCTTATAAAGGTTATCATAAAAACATAAAATTCGCAAAATAAAATCTTATAATTTTTCAAAAAATCTGGATTTATTTATCTTTGGCCATTTTTCTTCGATTTTACAATTTTTTGCATCGCAATTTTTCGTTTTTACATTTTCTTTATTTTTTCAAATCTTCCATTTATTACGGTTTCGATTTCATACTTTTTCGATTTGCAATTTTTCAATTTTGCAATTTTTTATGTTACAATTTTTTCTTTTTCGATTTTTCAATTTTTTGTTGTCCCAATTTTTCATGTTCTTGATTTTTAGTTTTCATTTTCATTTTCCCGAAGTTTCAATTTTCATTTTCTCGACTGTATATCACAGTTTTTTCTTTTTACATGTATTTTATTTATTTTAATGTTTGTTTTGATTTTATAATTTTTCAATTCCGTGATTTTCCAATTTTTCAATTTTGCAATTTTTGGATTTCTCCGATTTATCGATAATTTTCAATATTTCGATTTTTATATTATTTCGTTCGATTTTGCACTTTTTCGATTTTAAGTTTCCCAGTTTTCAATTTTTCGTTTCTTCAATTTTTGAAGTTCTTCCTTTCCAATTTTGAGATTTTGAAAGTTTTCATATTATATTTTGTCGTTTTTTCATTTTTGAGACTTTAATTGGACAGTTTTGCAGTCTGTCCATTTTTTTTTGATTCGGAACATTGAAAATCGAAAAATTGAACAATTTCAAAGTTAAAAACCGAAAAACTAAAAAGCGGAAAAAATTGAAAAAGTGAAAAACTGAAAAAAAGAGAAATTGCAAAATCGAAGAATTGCAAGTTAAAGAAGTGAAGAACAAAAAAATTGAAACATTGGAAAACTAAAATTCGAGAAACTTTAAAATCGAAAAAAAATAATGATTCGAAAAATTGGAAAGAAAAAACGAATCAAATTGAAAAATTGGAAAACCCAAAAACTGCAAAATTGAAAAATTATAGACTCGTCAAAAGTCAAATATTTTAAAAATTACAGTTATTACATATTTAAAATGAAAACTATAAAAATTGCAAATCAAAAATTGAAGAAACGAAATATTGCAATTCGAAAAGCTGAAAAATTTGTGAGTGAAAACTCGAAGGGCGACATATGGTGAAATTGAAGAAACAAACAAATATGAAAAAATGAAGAAACGAAAAATTAAAAAATATAAAATTGAAAAAACAGAAAATTATAAAATTGGAACATTGAAAAATCAAAAAATTGTAAAAATAAAAAAAATAAAAAACTGAAATGAAAAATTGCACATCAAAAATTTGAAGAAATGAAAAATTGAAAAAATTCAGGTCGGAAAACTGAAGGAAAAAAAAAAGAATGAAAACTGAAGAAACGAAAAACTGAAAAAACTAAATTGAATAAACGGAAAATAATAAAATCAGAATATTGAAAACTCGAAAAATTGAAAAAACAAAAAACGAAAAATTGAAAAAATTCAGGTCGCAAAACTGAAGAAGTGAAAATGAAAAAATGAAAATTGAAAAAATGAAGAGTATATAAAACCGAAAAGTAAAATTGCATATCCAAAAATTGAAAAATTGAAAACTGAAAAATCGAGATAAACTTAAAAATCTAAAATTCGACAAACCAAAAATTAAAAAGTCTAAAAGTTGAACAATCGAACAACTGGAAATTTTCACATTGAAAACTAAACATCATAAAATCAGAACACTATAAAACACAAAAATTGAAAAAATAAAAAAAATAAAAAAATAAAAAAATGAAAAGTGCAAATCGAAAAACTGAAGAAACGAAAAACTTGAAAAATTTGTGAATGAAAACTTATATCTTAATGTTTAAAATGGGAAATTTGTATACCATTTGAACCATGTTTTAAGTTTCTTGTTGTCGCAAAAAGTCTACACATATTAAGAAATAAAGGCAAAATGTAGCCCCGCCCACCCGCCCTATCTCCATTGTGATGATTTTTTTTATTCGTCGTGAAGCAAGGGGTCGGAGCGTAACTGCAAAATCCTTATTTCTATACGAAAAATTAAAAACATGTTTTTGGGTATCGAAAATCACAATTCAGATAGGGCGGGTGAGCGGACTTACATTTTGTCTTTTTGTTTTAATATGTGTACACTTCTTTTCACAACATAGAACGTAAAACACGTTTAAAATGGAAAATTTGTATATCGTAAAATTGAACGAAAAAAAAAAAGAATGAAAAACTGAAGAAACGAAAAACTGAAAAAACCAACATTGAATAAACTGAAAATTATAAAATCAGAATATTGAAAACTCGAAAAATTGTAGAACTAAAGAAAACATAAAAACCGAAATGAAAAATTGCACATCAAAAATGTGAAGAAATGAAAAATTGAAAAATCGAAAAATTGAAAAAACAAAAAACGAAAAATTGAAAAAATTCAGGTCGCAAAACTGAAGAAGTGAAAATGAAAAAATGAAAATTGAAAAAAAAATTATAAAATGGATGCATCGAAAACTTTAAAAAATGAAGAGTATAATAAACCGAAAAGTAAAATTGCATATTCAAAAATTGAAAAATTGAAAACTGAAAAATCGAGATAAACTTAAAAATCTAAAATTCGACAAACCAAAAATTAAAATGTCTAAACGTTGAACAATCGAAAAACTGAAAATTTTCACATTGAAAACAAATCATCGTAAAATCAGAACACTATAAAATAGAAAAATTAGGAAAGTAAAAAAAATAAAAAATGAAAATTACAAATGGAAAAACTGTAGAAATGAAAAATTTGTGAACGAAAACTCAACTTAATGTTTAAAATGGAAAATTTGTATACCATTTTAACCATGTTTTAAGTTTCTTGTTGTCAAAATAAGTCTACACATATTAAGAAAAAAAGGCAAAATGTAGCCCCGCCCACCCGCCCTATCTCCATTGTGATTATTTTTTTTATTCGTCGTGAGGCAAGGGGGCGGAGCGTAACTGCAAAATCGTTATTTCTATACGGAAAATTAAAAAAAATTACATTTTGCCTTTTTGTTTTAATATGTGTACACTTCTTTTCACAACATAAAACGTAAAACACGTTTAAAATGGAAAATTTGTATATCGTAAAAAAAAGAATGGAAAATTGATGAAACGAAAAACCGAAAAAACTAAAATTGAACAAACGGAAAATTATAAAATCAGAATATTGAAAACTCGAAAATTGTAAAACTAAAGAAAATAAAAAATCGAAATGAAAAATTGCAAATCGAAAATTTGAAGAAATGAAAATTTAAAAAATCGAAAATTGTAAAATCTAAAAACTGAAAAAATAAAAATTTGGAAAATTGAAAAACAGAAAAATTTAAACTTAAAAAAATCGAAAAATTGCAAATCTAAAGAGTGAAGAAGCTGCGGGAGTGTTATTTTGGCCACCGGGTTTAACAAAAATCTCTTTGGTTTTAATTTTATAGACATTGTCAGGAAACAAAAATCGCAGAAAATTATATAATTTTTCAAATAATCAGAATTTGTTGGGCTGTACTTCAGGCGTAGAGGAAATTTTCTAGAAAAAACTTTAAATTATTTTTTTTTACTAGTTTTGAAGATTTAATTATTCTTTGTGTAGTAGTAATATTGTACCTGTGTAACTATAAATATAAAACATTTTCTGTTGAATGAAGTGATTACCGTGTAAATTGACTGTACGAAAAACTATTTTAACTATATATTACCATTGTGAGAAACAATTTTAAATTTTATTATTCAACTTGTGATTTCGTATTAATGTACTGTGAAAATAGTTATTTCAGAAATTGGAAATGATAGTTCTACTGAAAGATAACAAAGAGAAATTCATAATCTATTTTATTATGGCTATGTAGGATTTCGTATTGGTCGCTAAAGTACTGTGCAATAAAGCATAGTATTTTATCGGTGGCAATGACGTCACAGAAAACAGAAACGTGACCGAAACCATAAAACCGATTTTAGTAACTTTCACTTTTGCGAGAACGGTAGACTGAATGACATTTAGTTATGTTGGCAAGGCAATAGTCATTGTTGACATTTTTTTCAAATAGCGTAGTAGCGAAGAAGTGTACGAAAACAAGTTCCTTACGAATCCTACGTTATTTATTTAGGATGATTGTGATTTTTCATTTATTTGCGAATCTGTTTTATAACCTCTGCAAACGGCGAATTAACGCTAGAAATTCGTCATGGAGCAATTTCACCCTAACCAAACTAAATGTAGATAAAAGCCCCTTAGCTCAACGAGATGCCGAAAACGACATCAAATTCGACCCTCCTGTGTATAAACAGAGATACCAGCGAGCAGTCGAATTGCTTTTGCACGAGAAGTGGAAAGATCAGTTGGTTAAAGTAGTGGATTTCGGCTGCGGAGAATTCGGCCTTTTCGTCTTCCTGAAAAACGTGGTACCGGCAAGGGAAATCGTGTTTATTGATGTTGACGAGTTTTTAATAAGCGACTATTTGTACAAAGTTTATCCCTTGAACGCCGACTATTTAACTAAAAGGCAGGACCCTTTGAATGTTAAAGTTTTTGCAGGAAGCATTGCATATCCTGATGAGAATTTACTAGGCACGGATGCTGTAGTCTCCCTTGAAGTGTAAATATTCCACGTTTTATTTTTAATTCACTCATTAAGCGATTCTAGAATTGAACATCTGTATCCAGACACTTTGGACGCTCTTCCATATAATCTGTTTGCATATGTTGTTCCAAAAGTAGTGATAGTCACAACACCTAACGCCGATTTCAACGTCCTGTTTGAAAATCTACACACTTTCCGACATTCTGATCATAAATTTGAATGGACAAGAGAACAGTTTGAGTCATGGTGAGTTCTATGTTAGCTTGAAATTTATATTTACCCACATAACTCCAGATGAGCTTTTTTATTTTGTGAAAATGCTTTAGGGCCACAAATATAACATTACGTTTTCCGCGTTACACAGTCCAGTTTGATGGTGTCGGTTTAGGTCCTACTGGGTGTGAAAGCTGTGGCCAGTGCTCACAGCTCGCCATATTTATACGTAAAGATATTATCTGTGATAAAGGGGTAGAAGTTGCTACACCTTGCACTTGCAAGACAAGTACCTGCAGATCAAACTCTCAAGATGGTCTTTGTTGCCTTTGCGAATGCCAAAGCTGTCTGCCTAAGTATTCTTTCGGGATCTGTACATATAATTCTAAGGATGTATTTAGAGTGAATGGACAGAACAAGGACTTCAAATTAATCAAAAGTATTAAGTACCCTGTTGACACAGATACTAGAACGGCGGAAGAAAAAATTGTAGATGAGCTTAAGTACAGGATGCATCTTTGTGGAAGCGCGAACGAATTGTATTACAATTACGAGAGAGATCGTATCGAGATACCGCTGGAGAGATTGGTTTACGTGACTTCTGGACCGTTTCCATCAAAGTCCGAAATTAAGTAAGTTCTTAATGTAGAGAATTGTACTTGCGCATTGAGTGGTGTTTTAAGTAGCATTTTCTGAGAAAAATAACGTACTAACATGCATAATTTATTACTTTAATTGCCTGTACATTACGCAATTTTGCTTATAAAATAATGTCACTGAATTTATTTTCTTATTATATACCGTTCAAGATGTTCATAGACAAAGGTAGGCCATATAAATCTAGTAATTTAGTTGGTAACCAATTTCCTATGTGTAAAGATCTCTAGTGACAAAGGAAATTTCATCATATTGGGTTAAGGGTCCCCAGTCGTCGCCCGCAAAATCGGTTTCAGTGAGAAGAATTATTTTTTGTAACTATGCAACCCAAAGTACCTATCCACAGCAGGTAGCGACCCAAGAGAGGAGAGATTATGGTCACTGTAGGGAGTCCGTCATAAAATGCAAATCGGTAAACAACACCAGATAAGCTTATTTATTTTCAAATGAAGGGTACAGGGAAATAACCATCGAAATTCATTTGTATGTATTTTGAAAGAAATTGAGTTGAAAGTTTAAAATGTTGCGGAAAATAGATTGAGAAACCCACAAGGTTCAGTCTAACACAACTTTTTATTTTCTTTATAATGTTTTAAAAATATATAAAATAAACTGTTTATGTTCAAATATAACAGCAAAAAAAATTGGTGGAAAGTTGTTTCGACAGAACTTCCCTCGCACCTAAAATACAATGAAACATATCCAGCATTTTCGAGTTAAATTTTTACTTTAGGTACACAATTTTGTGATGAAATCATCAACATTTTGCAAGGACACGTAAATCAATGTGGATTAGACTAAAAATAACAGTATTCCAAAAATTTCTGGGAAAATGGAGTGAGTCGAGACTGATTTAATCAATAGAATAAATTGACTCATTCATTAATTTTTTTGAGGTATAAAAGCAAATCTAAAAAATATGAATGCAATGATAAATTACAAGTAAAAACTCATCATATTTTGCACATTTTTAGTAGAATTTGTTCGGTAAAATTTTGAGATGACGTTATCAATTTTTTAGTAGCATAATCCTGAACTTGTGATTTATAAATACATTATTGAGATTTTTCGGCTTTTCGGTTTTTCGATTTTTCAACTTTTGATGTTTCAATTTTTCAGTATTTTAATTTTGGACATTTTCAATTTTTCCATTTTTTTATTTTTCGATTTCTCAATTGTCCGTGTTTCAATGATACGATTTCGCAATTTTTCAAGTTTTCAATATTTTAATTTTTCAATTTTTAAAATTCCAGATTTTTCGATTTGTCGAGTTTTCAGTTCTTCTATGCATATTTCAGTTTTTCAATTTTCGGCATTCATTAAATTTCTGATTTTCCATTTTTTTTTTAATTTTTCGATTTTCTAGTTTTTCGATGTTTCGATTTTTCAATTATACAATTGTTCAATTTCTCGATTTCTAAATTTTAGATTTTCCATTTCTTATTTTTTTTTATTTTTTCATGTTTGGATTATTTAATATTGCTAGAAATAAAAGTAAAAAATAACTACCAAAATTGTGACTAAAAATATATAAAAATTAATAGAAAGTAGAACACATTGCTGCTAAAACATAAAAATTACTGTACTTTCCCAAAAAATCTATTGCATGATTACTGTTCCACTAGTATTGCTAATTTAGGACGTTAGTATCAAACGCAATGAAAGTATTAATTCTTAGTTAAACAAAAAAATAGTTGCATGTCAAAATCGAGTGAAACATGTGAAATGTGTGTAAACAAAAGCAAACTGACAATAAGACAATGCGGTTTGTACATTTTTAGCGGCATCGCCAGACGGCTTAATAAACAAAAAGGCTATCGTAGAAATATATAAAATGTCTAATTTGAATAATGCTTAATTCAATGAGATGATAAATTTTGGGAAAATAATATGATAGAGCCCTAGAAAAATTTTATTTATATGGCTTACTTCCGGAGAGAGTAGATTCTCGTTATTAAACAAGTCAATCCATTAGACAAATTGTAAAGAAAAAATTGTACAATTAAAATTTTTTATTTGCATTCGCGTCATGTGTAGTTCATATAAATCTTTTGCCCTTCTAGTATAAACACACACAGGAATAAATAGTAATATTGGAATAGGTTTACGGGAGATACCACGTAAAAATGTGCCTATAATACTCTACCTCATAGGTGGTGCGGAAAAGAGTATCAAAAAATTTAATTTAAATAAATATGATTGTTCAGGTAAATAAGTGGTTAGTGAAGTGATGAGAATCTAAATCTTGTCAGTTTTGTGTATTGGTTAATATATAAAATGACAGATTAATAAAAAATATTTGAATAACCTTTTGAAAGAAAATATTTTACTAGAATGTATAAAATTATAAAAATTTGCAACTTTTAAATCAAATTATGTCAGCAATGAAAGAAGTCGATTTGTAAAAGAGTTTCAACAATGTTGGTCAGCTAAGAGTATTTATGAGTTTGATGACCTAAAGTACCTGAACTGATTATCTGAAGGGGTCGGTCGGCAAGGCTCCCTGCTGTGTAAAACTCAGCCATTTATTGAAACGGATCTTTGTAAATAGGGTTGCCTAGTTTCACTTTATTTTCATTATTCAATATTTTTTAAAAAAGCAAATATTTTGATAAATATAAATTTTAAACAAAAATGACCGAGTCTTCCCCGTAGAGCTCAATGTTGTCTTTGCACTGACATAAAAGTTGAAGCGAAAAATGTTCTCTCCTCGTCTAAACATGCAATTTCCTTCGAAGAATGAACGATTAATTAAACACTAAACAATCACTTATTTTAAAAAAATGTTGTGTCTTTCCCAGAGATTTAGACATAATCTATCAATTGAAATGTCGATGTTTTTTTCAAAGTTGAAATTACGCCGGTAAAATGAAATTCTATTTAGCTCATTTTTCGGTCTGCTACTGGGCACCCTTAAGAAATTTAATTAAATTATTATAAGAAAAGACACTAGAGGCTCCAAAGTACTTTCAAATTTTTTCCAAACTGGAATACCTAGAACCTCAAGAGTGTTTTAAGTTTTTCAAAAAAACGGGGTCCCAAAATTAACTCAAAAACAGATCAGGTCAGAATTTTCCAAAAACAGAACACCAAAGTCCCCCAAAATTGTTTTAAATAATTTACAAAAAAATCTTCATGGGCTCCCAAAATAATACACCATGAGTACGTAAGAGTCTCCCCAATTAAAAAAAAAAATATACTGCGGCACTCAAGACTTTTCAAATTCAGAAAAAATAAAACATTAAAAGCTCAAAAGATTTTTTCAAGTTTATCCAGCAACAAAACACCAGATTTCTTTAAATTTATCCGAAAACAAAACAAAATTTGAAAGCTTTGACAATTTTTGAACTCTCAAACATTCTTAACTGCTTACTCGATTTTTGCTTATTTGTATCTTCGCTTCATATCAGGCAAACATTGTTGTCAAATGAATTTTATCAGATTATTACAAAAACAACACAAATATAGTGAACCAAGAGCTATAAGGTTATATGGCCATCATAAAAGTAGTTGACCGCAAATAAAAACCCCCTTTGTGTGGTTCGCACTAAGCTTACCGGTTGGCAATAAATCATCTTCTAAACATTTCTTGCTGATATTTAACGGGGCTGGCTTTCAAAGCGAGTGGTTATTTCCGAACCCTCAGCGGCTACAGGTAGTAAAGAAATAGTGGAGTGGTGGATTTTCATATTTAGTGAAAGCCGTCCCTGAACGAAACCACAAGAGCCGGTCGAGCTGCAGTGGACACGTTATTTACGACCCTAAAACCTTTTCTATTGTAAACAACTTAACTTCGACACAATGGGATGATTTTATGATGGCCATATAACCTTATAACTCTTGGTTCACTATATATCTTTGTACATTCTAACTGAAATGGTAATTAAACATGGTCATGGGCGAGAGAAATATTAACTAAAAGTTTTATTACTAGTTATTGTGATAATGAATGTGTTGTTTAGTTGTTAAACGTAGCAAAAAAAACAATTTTAAAATCATTATAACTCCACCAAAATGTGAGAAGGATTTTTTTACTATTTTTCCTAGACTTACCAGTTCATTGTTCAGAGCGTACCGGCCATTTTCCAGACACCCGGTATAATTATTCTTAGGCCCGGTTATACAATGGATAGTTAACTATCAAGTTCAAGTTAACTTCAAGTTAAATTTTTGAATGAGTTTTACAAAGCGTGGTTATGAAGTTAACTACCAGTTTCCTTCACCAGCACCTCGACTGCTGGTTAACTTGGAGAATGAAATGACTAGAAGTCACTTTCGTTGGCGATCAGGAACGTAACCTTTTAAATTCTGTGTCTAATTTGTGTTGTTCTTTACTTTTATGCTTATAAAACCTTATGGATTTTGATAATTTCCTCAAATTTGTATATTAATTTCTATTTTCATCTACTTAAGCACCGGTTTTTTAATTGCCAACAATCAGAATTTATTCTAATTTTATTCGCTATTTGGGCTTAGTATATACAGGGTTAGTTTAAGGTCCCGAAACTTTGTTATTTGAAACGTTTTTTTCCTGAAATTTACTTTATATAGTTAAACATCGCAACTTGATTACAACATTTTTCCTCTTTTTATCGCTCTCGGTTTGACAGACACGGCCGCTCTAATTTTTTTTTAATGGAACACCCAGATTTTTCTGACATTTTCTAAAGCAGAATAAAAAACTACTTTCAGAAATTATCAACATCTTTATTTCTACTCATACAAAAAAATAGAAGAAAATTCATAACAAATCACGTAATATTGTAAAATCATACATAATTCATTGAGAAATTTTGTTGATCGATTACATCACTGCTACATTGTAAACGGAGAACACTTTAAACATTTATTGTAGTCCCACTCATAGTTTATTATTTAACAGTATTTTCAAAAATGAGGTGATTTTATAATAACCTGTATAAAAAAAAAATATGTGACATTTTCCGCATACCATCTACGTCGATCTAAAACTAAA